TTGGGTTGGGTTTTGTGTGTGGGGGGGGGGGGTGTAGTTTTGTTGTGTGTGCGTGTGTGTGTGTGTGTGTGGAGTTCGTTTCGTTCTTTTTTTTTTTGTCTTATGTTCGGTTTGGGTGTTATTTTTCTGTCTATTTGTTGTTGTTTTTTCTCTGTCTATTTTGGGATCTTCCTCTATCTTTTTTCTGAATCTGTGTGTGTGTGTGTGTGTGTGATATCTGTTTATATCTCCCTCTACTATTAACTCAACAATAAGCAAAATTATCTAATATACCATTCATTACCATATGCCATGCAAAGCGCCACAAGAATCTGGTATATTTATCCTTCTGCAATATTTATTAATTATCCTCACCCCCCACCCACCCCACCCACCCCTTAGGCACGGCGGCGGCGGGCACCACGGGGGCGGCGTGCACGACCGACTACGTGATCATCCCGGGCGGCGTCGACAACAACCAGAACTCGGTGGACAGGTTCTGCGGCCTCGGGTTCCCGGACTCCGTCACCTGTGAGTTTCTGGGCGGGGCCTTCCGAAGCGCCTTTCAGTTCGTACACAGTTGTTGAGGAAATACAGACAGACAGATACCAGCACAAGCGCGCACACGAAAAGACACACGCACACACGCATGTACGCGCACACATACGCACGCACACGCACGCACGTAGACGTACACACATACACGCCCATACGCACAAATGCACAGACATATACTCAGGCACACACACACACACACACACACACACACACACACACACACACACACACACACACACACACACACACACCACACACACACATATATATATATATATATATATATATATATATATATATATATATATATATATTGCAACTATAAACACACGTAGAGAGAGGACTAGTGTTCTGGCCTCCAAACTCGCATTGAAGTCATTCAGTAAAGTAAAGGAAACATTTTACTGCCAATTTCCAACATTCTGAAATTTCCAAAATCTTCCGCTTGTCTCTCCCAGCTACCATGAAGCCCTTCGTCATGTACGTTCACACCAACGCAGACGAAACCGGTGACGCCGCCAACCGAGGCTTCAACCTGCAGTACCGACAGATCACCGACTGCTAAGTGTGACAGCCTAACTACCGATCGAGAGTGATTCAGGTTTTAGTATATGACTTGACGATTGAACAATTACAAAGCAAGAACCACAAAACTCTGACCACTTGTTTAACGTAACGACCGGAAGTTATGAGAGAGAAAGAGAAAGTTAGCAAGACGGACTGTATTTAATTGTCTCTTCCATTAATAACTTTGATATGACCTTTTTTCAATCACTAATTTGTGAACGACTTCTCAACTACGACAGAGAATGTAGTCGTACACTGAAAATGTTATTGGTTTGTTCTCTCTCCTTGAATGTTGATTGCTTGTTATTGTTATTGACGTTTTCTGTTATTGTTCTGTTAAAGTTTGTTGATATTTAGATTGTATGATTCATATCACTGTAATTCACTGTTGGATGTGTTGTGCCGGCTGGTTTGGCTACCAAGGGTTACAGGTGTGTAATTTATTGTTATTTTTTAATAAATGTAACACAATGAATATATATTTTTTTTTTTTTGGATTTCTTCTCTAATAGGCATAATTCATACAGTTCTATGGAAGGTTTGGTTAATCGATGTATGCATATTTACATATACATACATGAATATATATATATATATATATATATATAATATATATATATAGTAAAATGTATATACATAAATATTTGTATATATACATATATATATACATATGTAAAATATATATACATAAATATTTGTATATATACATATTATATATATATATATATATATATATATATATATATATATATATATAGTAAAATGTATATACATAAATATTTGTATATATACATATTATATAATATATATATATATATATATAATATATATATAGTAAAATGTATATACATAATTATTTGTATATATACATATAATATATATACAAATATGTGTGTGCATATATATATATATATATATATATATATAATATATATATATATATATATATATATATAGTAAATGTATATACATAAATATTTGTATATATACATATATATATATACAAATATTGTGTGTGCATGCATATATATATATATATATATATATATATATATATATATATATATATATATATATATAGTAAAATGTATATACATAAATATTTGTATATATACATACATATATATATAATATATATATATATATATATATATATATATATATATATATATATATATATGCATTTATTTAGAAGACGAGTTCACAAACATCAGTCGGAACATAAAAGCAATTTATGAATGGCAACAACCCATCAAGCAGTTAGTAACCAACTGTTGATGAGTTGTCTATGCTGACTACCTACAAGAGGTCCGGAATGCACACTCGAATCACATGGAGTGCTCCCTTAAATATCAAGATTTGTAGAGAACATTAGGCCGGAAATTTCTGACAGGTC